CCTATGTATTAAAAACATTCAATAAAGAAATACTATATTAATTTTTTTATTTATTATAAACATTTTATTTTTATCAATTCGAAACTAAATTTCCTTCCCTAAAATATTTTGTTTTTCAAATTTGCGTAACGCCAATAAAATTTAATTTTTGCATGATATCTGGAAGGGAGATCGTCACAAAATTTGACTGCCCCAATTAAAAATTAAGGCTGCAACATGTACATTGTGGACGTAACTTGATTATTATGTAGAATCCACCATGGAAAACATATTTTGTTCATGGATGTTAGCCGAAGTTGATTTTGCATTTCGGCAGGCAGTATTTCGGATTCTTTATCCAAATAATTCCGAACATAATTTCGAAATACAATATTAAAATTAATTTGGCTACTATGAAAATCGTTTATTAAGAAGTTTTATCTATGTGAAATGAAAATTGAATTTATTAAGAGGATGGGATTAACCCAGCTTCAGGGCTTATAGGTGGAGGAACATCGCAGAAGCTCGTTTGAAATAGAGGTCGTAATTCTTATATAATGTTTATTTGCTTAGATTCTGGATACCAGACTAAAATCAAGGATATGATTGAATGGAATATTGTATTCCACGGAATTGAGTTCAACGTAGTAGTAGGATTATATTGCATGAAAATGTGTGGGTGATATCTTCAGGAAGTTGATTGTAATATAAAAATTTAAGTTGGTGGAGGTAAAAGGATAATAAATTTTCATATTGATAAACAAAATTTTATTGAATCTAATCAACCTACTTTTTGACATTAATTTATTACCATTTACCATTCAATTTTGACTCTTTCAAAGAAAACTTTCAATGATTCATTTACAATTATTATTAAAGTCTAATATTTATGTTCTGGATGGGATTAGTACAACTATAACAATAACCATGACAGAGATTCAAAATAATAAACAGTCAAGTAGAAATCCCTTACAGTGGTAACAGCAGCAAGTGCAAATAATTTCTGTGCAATACAAAATTGGCTTTACTAATAATAAACTCGGTACCAACATCAAAACGGCTTAGGATCATGATCTAGGATTATTACATTATCAGAACAAATGGATGAGTATTTTACTTGAGAAAGAATACTTGACTGAACTGAGAATATTTGATTTTGAAATGTACCCAGAATTTTGGAGAATAATACCAGAGGAGGGTTTGGGTATGTTATTAAGGATTATCCTGGGCTAGCATTATGGCTTGACTCGGAAAATTTTTCACGACACCAAGATTTTGAAACAACTCAAAGTTATTATGATGGATTCTTTCCATCCAAATCATATGGTTGCATGCCAAAATGGACACATCCAGGTATTTTTAAGCTTTTTAATGATGATGCAAAATATACACAAATTTTATAAATTGTAATGGAACAGTAGTAGCATTTGCTTCAAACAAAGCAGGTTCATTAATTAATAATTAGGTAGAGTATGCCTTGATATATAAAAGGATGTATTGCACCAAAAGGAAGTAAACAGTAGAAAGAACCATTGACAAGATCAAGCAATTTTAGCATATTTGGCAGCAAGAGATAAAAGGCTTTGTGTAAAAAGATTGGACTTTTTTGGATTTAGGAGAAAAATATTTTAGAAAAACAAAATAACATTACCTCATCACCCACCAACTAGAAATGGAATTTGTGAGAATGATGTGTTTCAATATTTTTTAATACAAGAAGTTTATTTTTACTTTTATTTTATTTTTAGGAAAACTTAAAAAGGCTGACTTATTTTTATTTATTGGGGGAAGACGAATTAATAAAACATACACATACAAGCATATATATTAATGCATTATATCACATACATATATACATACAGTATGTATATACAATTATTTTTTTTTTTCTGGTAGAAATCTTTTGATTAAGATTTCTTTTATTTTATATTTTTTAATTGATTCCAATGGATTATTTTCAATTAAATCCAAATCCAGATTTGAACACTGTAGGTTAATATTATCATTGTCATTGTTATTTGGTATTATAACATAACAAATTATTAATGACTAATTTGAAAAATAAAAAGAATTATTATTTAAAAACAAACACTCTTAATAGTTATAATGATAATAATAAATAACAAATAATTACCTTTTTTACTTGTACATTAACTCTGTTAACACTCATTAGCATTTGCCATGAATTTAAACAATCATCTCTAAATTGATTTTGGCATGTCTTCTGGTGAAAATTATGGTTTTTGTCATTATTGTCATATGGAATTATTATAACAGCATATCTTTATTATAACAGTTTAGATAAAATATTAATGAATAATGAATAATTGTAATGATGATGATGATGATGATGATGATGATGATGATGTATTTATATATATAAGATTTCATTAATTAATAATAAATTTTTTAAAAAATATCAAAAGCTTACTGGGAGTGTTTAAATGGAGGTCCTTTTTCATATAATACTAAAAAAAAATCAATTTATCCTTGTCAATATAAATAAATGTGTTGCTTTCATTCATCTATCCACTTACTAACTCACACACATACCATAGTCAACACCGAATTTCATTCCACATCTGACTACCCAACCTAAACTACGAAAATAGTGATAAGCAACATACTTTATTATAAATGAGTTATGCCATTTGTTCATATTATTATTATTATTATTATTATTATTATTATTAGCGAATAAAGAAGAAGTGGTATTGTTGGCAGAATGACGAAATGCTTTCCAGCAGTTGATTATATTCATCAGATTCTATAAATAAAATAAATATGTAAAATATAATGATAAAAAATAATAGCTAATAGTAATAATTACATGAGATGATATATAATTACTTCATTCTTGTCATATATATTTAAAGATTCAATACCAAAACATAAAAAAAATGCCTCTTCCGTTGTGAGATGTAAATATTCTTCTGAAATATCATCATCATCATCATCATCATCAACATCATCAACACTATTATCTGCATTATTATCATTATTTTTATCATAACCACCTTTATTTACATTGGTGTTATTGTTTTTATTAATCTTCCCTTCCAACTGTTGTTGTTGTTGCTCCTCCGTTGTCACCTTTTTTTTTCTTTTCTTTTGTTTTCGAGCTGCTCGTCGCCTTTCTACTAATTGCTCAACTGAAATACTACTACCACTACCGCCACCAATATTATTACAATCATCAGCATTACCTCTAACTTTTCTTTCTAATCTTTTTCTCCAGTCCCAAGTAGGTTCACTTCTTGATAAATTGCCTTTTCCAAAAAATCCTTGGTTCCATAATTTATTAATATCTTCTTTTGTATTTTTTTTTACAATAACAGCATTAATAATTGGATCAAATTGTCCTTTAATGTTAGTTGTTGCTGTTGTTGTTGTTGATATTACTTCTGCGTTTGATGATGTTTTATTGGAAGAAGAAAAACTACTAATGATGGTTTTAAAAAAGTTTGTAAAAATAGAGCCTATAATGTTGGTGTTAGTAGCAGTGGTTGATGTTGATAAGGAAATTGGTAATGGTTGTTTGTAAGATGATTTAGGAGTTGGTCCCAAAGCATTTTTTCCTTTTTTTACAAGACTATTAGTGTTGGGAATATTTGAAGATGATGCCATCAAAATGAATGACGTCAATTTAGTACGCAATGTAACGTTGATTATTTGACAATACTTGTAACATGCTTGATATAATCAAAATTTTGGTAAAATTATAATATCTTGTCTATTATTAAAAGCTCAAGGTTATTATGAAAGTTCTTATCATTCGCCGCAATTTGAGTGGATTAAAAACTTGTATTAACGGTCTGTTTCTAGCAACATATATATTAACAACTTGAAAAAAATCTGTTACCGTCATTAACAATTTATGTTCAAAACAAGTAAAGCTTGATGGTTCTAATGGTTGTTGTTTTATCTTGTAAGTTTAATATTGATTGAATTATTAAAATTCAAAAATTTAAGAAATTCATAGACATGAAAATTTCAACCACAATGGTCATATTGATCATTTATATCAATAAATAGAATTGTGAAGCTTGAGTGTGGTGGTGATTTGATATATGATGGATGACTTGTGTTAAAAACAACTTACGAATTTGCAATTGATCAATTTAATTGTCTACGTTGATTACAAAATGTATAATTTTCATAATTATGTTTGATAACGCTCAAAAATCAAGATAATTTGTTCGTTATGTAATTTTTAGAAACCTAACCTTTTCTTTTTATAATATTAACAAGGAAGGTTTATTTAAATCGAAATTGTTTCGAAAATCATTTCTAATCATTTTTAATGTTGTAATAATAAAATCGCGACAGGTTCAAGCAAAGTCTTCTTTTAGTCGAGTTATCCTTTGGTCCATAGAGCAGCTTTTACTTAATACGCAAGCCGTGGTTTTGAGTATTTCATGGTCGAATTTTACAAAATGCTTTTTTCAAACAGTTTTTTATTTGGATTAATAATATACAGTTATATATTTTAAGTTGATATTATAAATAGATAAATAATTCTAAAACTCATGCTTGTGTTGATTTTGTGAAAAAAAAATTTTATATATCAATATAATTTTTTAAATATGTCAAACTTACCAACACTCCAGTGATTAAATCTATGGCTAACGAAAACAAATAAAGTACATATTAATATGTATCATGATTTTATTTCACAATCAATAATAAAGAGTTCTTGACAAATTCTTGCAAATTATTGTTATAAATGAAAATACAGAAAATTGACGAATAACAAACTTGAAAATAAATAAATTTTTAGCGATTATTAAACTAATCGTTTAAATTATTTATTGTTTTATAAATTTATATCTTTCGATTACAACAAATACATGAATGAGGTTTGGGATTATTTCAGATACAATTCAAATATCGTTACTTAATTTTAAGATTTATAATTGTATTAAATAACTTTGAATTATCTTGAATTATCTTAATATTAATGATTACATAAAACCAGATTATATATTCTTCTCGATTAAACACATAAAAAATTTTGTTTATTATTTAATTATATATCCGACTGGATTTACAAACAAAATATAAAATATAAAAAAAGTTTAATTAGAAAAAAATTGAAAAAGATAAAATTGTTAGAAAATAATTGATGCTATAATTGTTATCACTATT